AAAAATAGTCAAAATTTCTCCCCCAAAATGTTCTAAAGTGGCAGAAATGTTTGCACAATGAAAATCTGTCCAATGTAACTCAAAGCTTATGAGGAGTGACTCCAATCATGACCAGAATTCCTCAAAATCTGCCCAAGATTCTTTTAAATCTGTCTAAAGTGACAAAAACTTCATCAAAATGAATTCAAATGTGTCCAAAATGGCATTCTCCCCCTAAAAAACGACAAAAAATTGTCCAACATGTCTCTAAGCTTGTACAGAGTGACTCAAAGTACCACAATAATGACTCACAAATTGTCCAAAATTGATCAGAAATGACAAAAAACATCTCTGAGCTTGTACAGAGAGACTAAAAACATGAAAAAAAATGGCCAAAATGACCTAAAATCCAACCAATCTGATAACATTAGTGACAAAAATGGAATCAAAATGAATCAGAACGAACCAGCATGACTTGAAACGTGTCATAAATTACTGTAAATGTACATTTGTTGTCCAGAACCAGACAATAAAATATATTTTGTTTTATTTTTATTCTTGTTATACTTCAGTCCTTGAATGTTTGCAACATCTTTGCTGCTGTGACTTTGGATTAATAAAGACTTTTCTTGTCTTAAATTTGTCCAAAATGACTCTCAAACACATCTGTCACACGGGTTGTCATGGTGATAAAGATGATGTCATGGTGATAAAGGTGATGTCATGTGTGACGATGCACATGTGACCATCACGTTCTACACAAACCTTCTCAGTTCTTTGAGTCAAACCTCCTAAATTAATCTAAACTCCAGTTTGTGTCTGTTGGTTTGGAGTCGACTCCCAGTAAACGTTGAGCTGTACCAGTTCGACCCAAACCAGTCCAGAGTTGTGAGAACGTGGGGCCCAGTGCATCACGTCAGTAGGAACTGGGCCACGGCGGCGGCGGCTCGTTTCTGATCAGAACGAGCCGTTGAGCTGCATCAGTGACCATCTGATGGTTCTGACGGTGGAGCTCGTCCTCCTGCTGTCTGTTGGGGTTCTGGATCCAGCTCGACGTCGCTCCGTGCACACATTCGTTCACCACATGTCCAAACACTCCGTCCCGGCCAGAACGTGGACGGACTCCCAGAGTTTTAGAGGATTTCTTCCTGATTTCCCTTCCCTTCCCTTCCCCCCGCTGCTCCTTCCAGACTCTATTTTTACCGTCCCTCTGCTTTGTCTGGCCGCTGAGAGGTGTTTTCTGACACAAACTGTCTCCTGCATTCAACAAACACTGGATGAGGCTCCGGCTGCCTGCTAATCCTTCACTGAAACTCTTTTCTCTCCTCTCCTCTCCAGTGCTGCTGCAGCTGGCCAACGACGCCTTTCCCAGGGACATGATGCTGGCTCTGTCCTACTTACTGGCCCTGCCTCAGGTAGGTGCACCGACACACAAACACTGGCTGAGGCTGGCGAGCAGCTGAGGGAGTCCAAAGCCTCCACTGGTTTCTGAGCCGTTTCTGGTCGGACGGTTCGTCTGAAGTTCATCAAAAGTGTGAAGCGATCAGCCACAACATTAAAACCAGTGACTCCTGTGGGTTCAGAGCCTTTGTATAAAAAAATCCTGGCAATTATGAAGTTTACCTTTTCCTTTTCACACCTGTATGTATATGACAAGAGTAAACCTCCAGATATATTTAACCGTCAGCTCGTCTCCTTTTGGTTGATACCAGATGTGTAATGATGTCTACTGAAGAATTCATGAGCGATTAATCAAAACCATACCTGAGCATGAAGTTCAAGCCAAAGTTACTTCGTGTTGAAGGTTAATCATCACATTTCTGCTCCAAAAAATAATGAAAAAAATCTATTTTTTTTGTAGTTTTTGTTGACGAGACCCTAACTTTGGACGACAGTGTCTCAAGAAGCATTTAAGGACTTCAGATTTGAGAACACGTCTCCTCTACTGGAGGTGTTTGAATCCCTCATTATAGGTTCCTCAGTGCTGAGATCCTATGACTGGTCAATGGAAGGAAATATTAACGCCTGAGACCATCTTTGCACACACATAAAACAAACAGGATTTACAATAAAGCTCTGAAAGTTCAGTGCTTCATAGTCCAGTATGAGGTGTTTCAATCCACCCAATTTAGTGAAGATGACACGTAAAGCCTCTGAGATATCAGCCCTCAAAAATGGTAAATATCGCAGTTTTACGCACCAGTTCCCAATGAATCGGTCATGGCAACACATGATCGAAGTCTTTTGAAAGAGGAGATCCCCAACTTATTTATATCCCTAACAAACGTTTTGAAATGTTGATTCTAAACATTTTAATTTGTTTTTTTTGCTCAAAAAAAAAAAAAATCTTCACTTATGGACTTTATCTGGCAGCTGATTGTAAATAGACGTTGAGATGTCATCCAAAGTCGTCACAAATTTGGCAAAAACGACAAAGAAATAAATGTTTTCATTTTTTTTTTGGTCATTAAAACGATCATAAAACTCGGTCTCATGCCACCTTGATGGCGATCCTCCTCCACCTGATCTGAAACGTTCCCGTGGAAGTCGTCTGGTGAATCATCCCTCAGCTACATTCCTGAAGACGTGTAATTCTGGATCAGCAGGTTCACGTTTAATACATTTCTTGACAGTATTTTGTTAAATATGTGCAGAATAAAGCGTCTTTGAAGGAGCTGCTGCTGCAGAGATCAGAGCAGCTTCCCGGTCGTCGTGCACCAACACGCTGGAATCATTTCATCTTTCCAGTAACAACATGTGAATTTGTCCACGTCAGACTCGTCTCGCTTTGCTTTTAATATTTAAAAACCTGCTTTAATCTTCTTTCCGGCTCCATTTGTCGACTTTATTCTTCAGGTTGCAGTAAAGTCAGGGTCCTGCAGTTTGTTTTCTGACCGCGAGGTTCGAGTCCGGCGCTTTTCTTCAGAACAGGAAGCGTCGTTCGTTTTTCCGTGACGTCCTTCTGTCAGGCAGCTTCAGGATGATCTGAGGTTGTTTACCGCCGACAGCCGTTAACCAGATGGTGGATGCTGCCGGTGGTTTTATTGTTGTGGCCGACCGCTCGGCTTCACGTCTCAAACAGCTTCAGCCGGTGAAAACCTCCGACCAGGCAGCTGTCAGCATCACAGTCTGAGAAAATCAAAGTTCAAGACGGACGGTGTTCAGGTGGAGGCGCCGACATGATAAATATCACAGAGTTCCTGGAAAGCTTCCACTGGCAGGTTTTAGAGCCAACAGGCTCCAAAAATGACTCAAACATGTGTTAAAGTGACAAAGACGACTCTAGAATGACTTAAAATGTGCCCCAAATGACTCCGTTTGTTCAGAATGACAAAAAAAAATGCTTAAATAGCAAAAATGATTTAACGTTACTTAGAATTTCATCAAAGTTATTTTGAAAAAATGCCCAAAATAGGGGGAAAAAAACTTTCAAAATGACTTAAAAATTTGTCCAAAATTATGAATGAAAGTTCAAGACTGAATATTTAAATTTAAATCTACCTAAAATGTTCCCCAAACTACCCGGTGTGTCCAGAAGGACTCAAACATGTCTGAACTGATAAAAACAAATTCAACATCGCTCAGAATTTGTCTAAAATTATTGATAAAATGTCCAAAATGGAAAAAATAAAGGTCAAGAAGTACAGAAAGGCTTGTTTACAATTATTTAAAATAGGTCTAAAATGGGAAAAAATGATTTGAAAAAGTCAAAAATTAGTTTTAAATTTGATCAAAGTCATTTAAAAAAATCCAAAATTGAATAAAAGTATTTACAAAATCTGATCAAGTTTTTCAGAAAAATATCTTAAATAAAATAGGATCAAAAATCTCTAGAAATGTTGTCTAAAATTATTTAAAATATGTCTGAAATCAACAAAAGGTTAAAAAACAATCTGAACAATTTGCCTTAAATGAAAAATGGTCAAAAAGTATTTAAATATTTGTCCAGCATTAATCAAAATATGTCACAAAAGGTCAAAAATTACTTCAGATTTTGTCCAGAATTATTAAAACAGTAGAAATTTAAAACAAGTTTAAAAACCAGTGAATTCCTGAGTGACGGCTGAAGACGGACTGGACGGCGCTCAGCTGATGAAACTCTAAACAGCAGAACTGAACATCAGAGGTTTTCCTGGACGCTTCGGACAGATCATCGTCGTCTCAGACTGAATATTTAAACCAGCGTCGTGTTTCACTCGTTCTTCTTCTCTTCCCTCCTTCGTTGCAGGTTCTGGACGCCAACCGGTGCTTCGAGCAGCAGCGCGGCTCGGCGCTGTCGCTGCAGCTGGCCGCCTACTACTACGCCCTGCAGATATACGCCCGCCTGCTGCCCTGCTTCAAGGACAAGAACCACACTCTGTACCAGGTCAGTGTCGGCCACCGAGGAATGATGGAGTTTCTTTTGTAATTCTGAACATTTGTGAACCACACTGGGCGATTTGGAGTCATTAGGAACAAAGTTTGAATCATTTTTTGTCTGAAGTGACAAAATAAAAACTCCCAAAGTGACTCACGACGTGTCCAGAATGATTTTAGATTAGTTTGAATCGATGCTTCCAGAATGAATAAAAATGTTCCTG